AATTATTTAGATGACGACCTGAGTGGGTTAAAGTCGTTGACTTTATTACTTCACTGCTCTCGTTAATACCACTGACCCACTTCTTGGGCTATTGAACCCCATTTTGCGTTTTCACACATGAGAAAAATTCGTTTTTATGTTCATATTTTATTGTTTCTTGTTTCCATCTTCCACGCACCAAACCAGTAAAACCTAACGTCGATGAGTATAAAAAAAACTAAGTAATGAATGGAAGATAAATTCATATATCATGGAAATTTATTTAATGCAATCAATTAAGTTATTTATTGCGTTCAGGTAGATATATTCCCACAGTGAGATTGTTTTTCACTTAGGAGTGCTAGCAAAGGATTGAGTAGTTATGTAGAATTCCTAGCTGCTATATATAAATATATTCGCAATGAAAGTGAAATATTTCAATATTAATTGCATCTGTAAATGGAATTTTTTCATTTAATCGATACCGATTGCAGATATTGATGTGATGTATCTTATTCATTTTTAGAAGGTTCTTATAGAAACTTTTCCGTTCAGTGTATGATTAAAGCAAACATTAGATGATAACTGTTATTATCTATATAATTCATGACACAGTTTGCTTAACTGGAATATGAATAAAAGCCATTAAGCCAACATTTCAATAAGGCAAAACAAAAAATGAAGGGTATTACCTTTCTAAAAATTCTGTTTGAAACTCTTGACGAACTTGTGTACTATATTGCTGCAACTGACAAATCTAAACCCTGTAATACTTTGCTATCTGTGAGATCATGTTTGATTTGAGTGCTGTAAATCTGAAGATAATCATGCAAGAAATAGTTCATCTATTTAATTCGGTGAACGGGAGCTAAATCATAATTTAGCTGAATTGACTTCCAATTAAATCGATGTTCAATAATTTTCTACTCATATTAGTAATCGACCGGCTATTAATGTATAGACTTCTTATAGACTTCTCAACATATCTCACCTTGTGTTAATATCTCAATAAGATATATCTACATAACTTCACTCTAAGCAAGAATATTGGTACATGATTTTCTAATATTTATCGGAGCTAGGAACTATTCAACAAGAGCAATTTTAGCTTTCCATTGAAAGCCAGAATGGCTTTGTTTTTGTTTTGTAAGGTTCAGATGTTATATATATATATTTAGTGTTTTGTTCTACAAGGTGTTTGACTACTATAAAAACACTTTAAGCCTCTTTAATTGTTCTGTAAATAAGGGAAATTAAAAAGTTTTCCGCAATAAATCTTTAAAATTTTAGGAAGCATTGAAGTTGCAATAGTCGGATAATATTATTTTTATATATAGGCAAAACCAAAATTAAAAATCTTATTGGATATATGAACATTTTCACTAAAAGTTAAAGACATTTGCTGGAATAATTGCGTTCATGATATTATATTAGTTTACGTATTCGATAAGTAAGAATATATTATTGGAAAAGCACCTGTCCATATCCTCTAAAAAAGACAAACCTTCAAATCAATAATTCGGTCATTGCACTCATGCAAACAAATTACTCGTACGTCAATAATAGAATTAAACCCCGAAAAAAACGTTGTCTGCACAGAGGGACGCGGCTTGCATGTTCAGGCAAATGACAACAAATGACAATTTATGAGAGCCAAACAAATAGAGCGACGGATTGTCTGTGAAGAAACCGTCAGCTAAAATCTAAGCGCCGACAAGTAGAAAGACAACAAAATCAGCATTTGCGGTGTTTATAAGCTTTTCAGTCATTTTTGTTGAGCTTCATTGCGTGTCAGTAATACAAAACACAGCATATGTAAATAAGCGGGCAGATAGATAGACGAATAGACAGACTGAGCCAGTTACCTAGGCAATTTGTGTGTCAATAATTAGTTAGTTTACTTTATATACTTGTACAGGTATGTAATATGACAGCAATAATATTGATTTTAAGTTAAAGTAAGTTCTTCTGACGTAGAAATAATTTCCTACTGAAATATACGAGTATCTCAAGATGATTGTTTATACGCTTTTAAAAGACAATCTGATTCCTTCAACTAAGGCATCTTGAACGTTCAACGGCGAAACGTTAACTATTTGAACCAACAAAAATTTTATATTAACATCAAAACGTTGTTTGATATCTGTTTGATGTTGCTTTCTACTACAGTCATGTACTTGCAACAAGTTGCATGAATCTGTTTGTTTCTAGAGCAAGTCTTATCAGCTTTGTTGCATGAAACTGCTTGTCATATGCAAAATGCAAACATATCGCACATGTTGCTATCATCTGACTGCCGTTGGTAATAATTTTACCTGAAATGATATTAAAGTTTTAACTGCACTAACGTTTGCATTTCTTAAAGAATAAAATCACTAAGAGATATTCCCTCCAGCTATCTTCTTATGCTCCGCCAATCCTTGTATAAGTGAAGTCCTAGTTTAGTAAGTTAATCTTTTTGTTTGATTTCATACCAGAATGAATGTGATTACTTTTGATGTAGTTGCATCCTTATAAATTTCAATATCAACTGGTCGTATTTCTATAAAGGTTTTTTAAAGTCACAAAAGGCCAAATGTGTAGAAAATGATAAATGGAGCTATAACTAAAACTGTATACGATGACAACTTATCATTGTCTAAAATTCAGAAGTTTCTCTACAAATGTGTAGAGACCCTCCTGAACGTTCCAGTATTACTTATTTATTATGTACATCAAATTATTGATCATCTGTTTTTCTGAAATAAATTTATTATGAATAACAAATTTTAGAAAAATAGGACTGCCAGAAAAATATGACCCGCAATATCCAAAGCCCAAAGCTTCCTAGTAAGCTGGCCATGATATCGTCACGAATGGTGGATATAGTCACGAATAAATTTGAAGATGCGAATTGTGTATGGAACGACATCTACAACAGATTGTTTTTAATCATTCAGCATTATTTATAATGATGTCCTCCTGCAATATGTATATATATATATATGTTTAATCTCATCAATAAATGATTTCACTACTGGGTGAGGGATATTATCATATCATTGTCGGGGTCACTTTTACAATTTGTTGGTTTGCTACGACTATATTCTTTAAATGCTTCCTAAATATATATTGAGATGTAATAAAAAAAAACTTCCAACAGAATAGAAAGCTCAAATTCATCTGAAGAAGATGTGTAAAAGATTTATGGCTATCCAAAACTAGACATGTCTTTAACGATACTTTTGCTTAGTTTTATTTGTAAAGTCCATATATTCAATAAAGTAGATATAACATAAACCATTTTCATTGCTTTAGGACTGTTAGCGCATCAAATTCCGTTCAATAATTGCGTTCGTATTGTACTAGATTTAGTCAATAGATAGACTACTATAATATATAAGTAGGTATAATAACATAATTTGAAAATATTGTAAATGTTTTCTTTAAAGGATGGGTTTCCATTTTTGATTACTGTTTCTTGTAATTATTTTGCAATTATCTTGTAAGCCCATTATTAAGAATGAAACACTTCAACACACAACTATAAAGAAGTATAAGCAAGCTGACCTATCTGCATTTGGTTTTGGCTGCCACTAAACAATAGTTAGTTATGTTTATGGAAGATGATAGCATCCTTACTTGGCATAATGTTAATGTTAATATTAATGTTAACAGTTAGTGCAGCACTAAGAAGAGCACGCCACTAATCAGGCCATATCATCACCCATAATTCCACCATAATAAATGCAACGAGGAATGGAAACAATTTTTATCATGAAAATCACATAATTTACTTTTACGAGTACAAGTATCTCTGCGAATGCGTACGTGTTGCTGTGATGTTGCCAGCGTTGCAGATTGCATCCCATCCAGCGCTGTTATTTGAGTGCCTGTTGCGGCACTTGTAGTTATTCTGTTCGTATCTTCTTTTTGGTAAAGCTTTAAATTTACAATTATTCAGAAACTGAAATCACATTATTTGTTTTACTAAGAGCAGTGCTGTGTAGATACATTTGTACTTTTTTTTTCTGACGATAGCAATCTGTGCATTGGACATGGAAGATTGTTCTGCAAAATTGAGATTTCAGTTATTTGTGCGAACATATTTTTATGCTCTCTATATTGATATCCCGTGGTATATAAATAAACATAAACAAAGTTTCATGATTGCGAATTACTGTTGTAGTTTAAATAAAGTTAATATATTTCATATAAATTTTATTGTAAATTCAAAGAGTTTGTGGAATATAATAACTTATCATCTCAAATAATTATTGTTATCGTTGCTTATGTTTCAATCTCGGTATAGTTATAAGCCCTTATTCTACCACCAGAAAAATAATTATCTTAAAAATATATATAAAATTAGTCTTAACGATTGAGGAAAATATAAGGGTTTCAGGTGACATGAAATGGCAAAACATTGCATTGAACTTTTTATAGTTTGATAAATGTAGGTGTATCTACAAGTAGCAACCCGACTTACAAATAGAGACTTTCATCGGTACAGAAAATAAGCCTATTGAGAAACCACAGCTTTTAATATTGTGATGATATTTGAGACCGAAATATCATGTCTCTGGTAGCGATGTTAGACAATTATGGAGACTATGTCAGACATTGAATGAAACGCAAGACTATTTAGTTCTACAGCATTAGCCAAGGATTGGATTGTACTTTATGTAGTTTGATAAATGTAGGTGTATCTACAAGTAACAGCCCGACTTACAAATAGAGACATTCACCGGTACAGAAAATAAGCCCATTGAGGAACCACAGCTTTTAATACCCCTATTTGAGACCGAAATATCATGTCTCTACTAGTGAATGGAAGTGGATAATCTTATCCACGAATGTAATTGCCAATAAATGGCCATGCTGCAGATATCTATCATGTATAGGTAAAATATGAAATGTAAATAAGATTTTAAATTATAAAAGTAAAAAGAAATTTTATTCATTGTATTGACAGAAATGTCAAAAGATAATTTTAACTTATAACTAAATTACTTTTTATACCATATAAAGAAATATATTTTTGAGAAATATTTCTGTCTGTGATTATCTTCCCATTCTAAAATGTTTACTCAAAAAGCTTTGGAAGACATTCGTGCCATTGATATACAAAATGCAAGTAATAGTGAAAATCCTATGAATGACTTTAAAGTTGAAATTGGACCAACTGATACGATTTCTGCGCTTGAATTTGGTCCATCCGTGTTACAGAAAAATTTACTCTTGGCCGGCGGTTGGGATAATACTGTTCGCTGCTGGGATGTGAAGCAAAATGGTAGTACAGTTGCTAAAGGTATGAAAAACTTAAAAGCACCGGTACTTGACGTTTGTTGGACAGATGTTGGCGATAAGGTTTTTATTGCATCAACAAACACACAAATTAAAATGTGGGACTTGGCTTCCGACAAGGTGACGACAGTAGGTACACACGAGGCCCCAATTAAAACATGTCATTGGATTAAGAGCCCAAACTATTCTTGTCTTATGACTGGTTCTTGGGATAAGACCTTAAAAGTATTATAATTACAGTAACCATTTATGTAGTTCTTAATATTAGCATAATTATATTTTTTTTAAAGTTTTGGGATCCTCGTGCACCAAATCCAATGCTCTCTCTTTTGCTGCCTGAACGTTGTTATTGTGCTGATGTGGATTATCCAATGGCAGTTGTTGGATCAGCTAATAAAATGATTTCTATCTACTCACTTGAAGGAACTCCAACTTTATACGCTCAAGAGGAAAGTCCGCTTAATAGTCAAACTCGTTCTATATCCGTTATTAAATATGAAAATATTCCCTCAGGTAAGCTTAAGATGAATAATTACTTTCGTTATTATCGTTATTAAATAAATACATACACTAAATCAAATTGCAAAATCATCTTATGCTAAAATTATAACCTTAACACATTTGAACGTATATTGCGTTAATAACGAATTAATTAATTTGATTCCAAGTTGATTAAGTAGAAACCGTTATTGGTTTCATGAAGATAGAATTATTCGCTCATTGGATCTAAAACGGAGCAGTGGTCATAGATTGCGTTGAGTCCAGTGTAGAAGTCATCTTTGGTCATGTTGTTGGCTTGAAGAATAAAGGTTTTGCTAAATTTTTAACCGCTTCCAAATTCACGTCTATTTGCATGGCATTTGTAGGAAATGTCACAGTTTGCTCTTTAACAGCAGTTTGTTGTACTCATCGCATCTCTTAAATGTCTGTGGTATCAGCTTTGTATAGAGAGGCATCTTCTCTATACAAGATATGCACATATTAGATGCAAACCCATATATCTTAATCCATATTTCGTTTGTGGGAGTTGTCAAAGTTCAGGATACTTATTTGAGGGTACTTCTTGACTTTCACTGGAAGTTGATTTTGTATAACATTTTACAAACTACAAACTTTTAATCATGGTGTTTCTTCTCTGCATATGTATTGAATAAAAATTACATGCATTTTTCATAGGTTCTTTTAGTTCTACAATCCTTTAAATAGTTCTTTATTCACAGGTTATGTAGTTGGTTGCATTGCAGGACGTATGGCTTTGCAATATGTTAATGAAAAGGCAAGACACTTAAATTACAAATGTATGTGTCATCGTAGAATAAATCAATCTAGTGTTATTGATGTTTTCGCTGTTAATGACATAATAGTTCATCCGGTACATGGTACTATCGCAACTGTGGGTTCGGATGGAACATTTTGCTTTTGGGATTTAGATCAACACACACGTTTAAAATTATCAAAAACTATGGCAATGTCAATAACAAAATGCGCCTTTAATCCCAAAGGCGATATATTTGCTTACGCTGTTGGTTACGATTGGGCACAGGTTTGTTTGGAATGATCTATGAATATATATATGCAATTATAATCGTAATGTTTTTATTTTAATTTCAGGGATATGAGTTTTATGATCCAGTTAAAAAACCAAATTTGTTCTTGCATGCGTGTTTTGACGAAACCAAACCAAAAACTTCATAAATTATTGTTTAGAAACTCTTCTAGGATGTGGATTCGAACTAATAAGATGTGGAAGAAATTAAAAAATTTTAAAAGTAGTTTAAAGGATTTTAGTAAAAGTTTTTAATGACTCAAAAATATTGAAACTATTCGATTTCAAAATTTTATTGGATCCGCATCTTATATTTATTGATATTTGTTTTGTTTTTAAATAAAAAATAAAGAATTTTAATAAATAATCCAAATTCATAAAATGTCCAAACTTTAATGAATATAATATTTATCAAATTCATTTTAATAATATTATTAACTGCATTATCTTCTTCTTACAAAAGGCAGCAATCCTCGTTTCTGGTCATGCTCTCGTCATTATTTATAAAAAAAATTTCAATTACGTATTTAGGTTTCTATACATTTGTATATCTAGATATAAATGTGTATAAATGTATTTCCACTACTTTAATTTATTTACGAGTACAATTTTTTACGAGTATAAAATGCTTTTCCATACATTAAAGGCTTTTTTCCTCACTTGATGAAAGTTTGTTTGAAGAGAATAACATCACTATTTCCACTTTTTCCGACACTTCATAAATACTATTTGATGCTCATAAAACTCATATCTGGAAGCAGCACGTACCTGTCCGCAATTCCTCTGCATTTCAGATTTAGATTTCCACTCACGTCCTGGCTAAATGCAAACGAAATTGGACACTTCTACGTGCTGTTAAGGTATTTTTGCACCCTCTCAAGCGACAAAGTTTCAACGCAAACGCACCTGCATGTTCCGATGGAAGGACAACTTATTGGGTGAAAGTTTATGGTTTTAAAATGCAAAAATAGCCCAAGGATAAGAAAAAAAATTCCAGATACTTTTCCACACAAAATGAAATAAAAAAAAATATGGAAAACTAATTTACTTGGATTTTTTCTCTTTTAGATGGAGAACTTTTAGAGAAAAGTAAATTACTTAATACATGAATTCTTTGAATTGGTAAGTCCTTAAATTTTAATATAGGTAAGAGGATTCTGGTTTAGCCAAGCTAAATAAGTTCGGTTGCGCTTCATTTGATATTCTTACATTAGTGCCAATTATTAAGAAATCGAGTGAAACTATTGGTTTTCTATTGGTTTACACCAGCACAGATTGGTCATTCTGTGACAAATAAAGACAAATATCTTTAGATTATGGTTATTGAAATTACTAGTTTCGGGAAAGCTCTTCAATGGTTTCTAACTGAGTCCTCTTTTCATCAGCCATGTAGTCCCAGTTTTTTTATTTCACCGAAGTTATTAATATTGCATCAAATCATCTGTTTTTAGGGCGCTGTCTTCATTCTCAACTTTATGAGTTTGTTAAGCTACTCTATCGGCCAGTAGAAATACCTATGTATTCTAACCATCTTATGCGTTGGAATTTGTAGTGTTTGAGGTAATTAATGAGCAGCTTCTCAATGTTCCCACTTTTTAGTGCACATGATTGGAATTCATATATAAAAATGGGTCTAATAAGTGGGTCTAATGTTCATTATAAATTGCGTAGCAAGATTTTGGACATAGGAAGTATTAAATGTGCAATGTTAGCCTTAGAATTGCTCTTTATTCATGCTTAAATGGTTATCCTTGTATCTTCGGTATCGTTGAGGTTTACTCCGAGATATTCGACTTAGTCTATAGCTTCGAATGAATCTTGAGTTTTTTAATTACTTTCAGATATGATTTACTTATTGTGGTTTTAGAATGATTTGATCTTAGTGCGACCCACAATTTTGGACCGTCTAAAGGTAAGTTATCCGCTTTAGTGCAGATTTGTAATTCACAACACTTTTTTCGGTATTATTCCTATTAACTACTATTTTCGTGCTTATTATATATGTATTTTCATAATAATAGTCGTTTGCAAATTACAGGATAAATAATTTTTGATGTGAAGACAAAATGTATGTAGGTATGTAAGTGATTCAGTTATTAAATTCCGTAGCTCTATTTGATTAATTATGTTTTCATATAAAATGCAGAGCCATGTCATTCATTTCACTACTACAACTTATACTAATGAGTTTAGTTAGTTATCATTGTTGGTTAAGTAACAATACTAAAAGTAATTAAGACAGATAGTGTACGAGTATGTATCACTGTGAATTGAAAGGACTAGATGTATGAGTATCATTGAAAGTAATTATAGGGAGCAGTTGTTTCTTCGAATTCATGGATATGATAATTAATTAAATGATTGTGTTATTTGATTGTTAGTATTAAGATATACCTAGTAAATGGGGCTGTTTTATTAATTCATTGAAGTCAAAAAATTGTATTAATTTGTTTAGGCAAAATAATTTTGTTTCCGAAACACTTCATAACAGTTTCGAAATTCTTAAAGTACTACTTTAGTAGTAAGAGGGTATGAAAATTTCGTGAATTTAATTATATTTACGAACTCATAACTGCTTCTGGAGGGCAGCATATATTTTTAATTATTTCGGTTTATCTAAACGACTACACACATCATTAAATGAAACCGTTTCATTGAAAACAGAATTAAAATGTAATAAAGGAAATCCTTATAATACAGTATTTAGGTTTCATTCGGAAATTATTTAAATACGGCTTAATATGCTCGTATATTAGTTGTAGATCCAATATGTCAGTTTCAACATTCTAGTTATTCTAGTTTTATTATTATAATTTTGTTAGTGAAGTTTACATTAAGACCTAGTGCTTTACTGTGTAGTATTGTAGTATTGAATCCACATTACTAAGTTTTATTTCTTCATCCGATATTATATGCCCACCTAGGTATTTGATTTATTTATGGTTATTATATGTTTAGGCTATCGCATACATTTGTTCTTGAAAGATAGTTGTATTTTAATCCTGCACTTCCAAATATTTCAGTCACGTATATCTACTTGGCGTATTCTGATTGATTTTTTAGATTTTAGACATACCATCCCAACTATCTTCATTGCGGAATTTTAAATCGTTTTATAAAACTTAATATTGAGTGTATGCTATATCGCGCAGATACCTAATATATTCCGATTAAGACAACTACCCGAGCTGATATTATCTTAAATCTTTTTTGCTGGCGATTATATATAAATGTGAAGACGTGTGAGTTCTAGGTGTACCTTAACGTATGCCGTCGTTTATATGGCTTCCATAATATTTACACAGTTCAGTCTTTGTATCTTGTTGAATGTGTTAAACACCGTTTGCTACTTTGTGCAATTCTCTCAGACTACTGCTCCATAAATACTCATGACTCTGATAAATTGTTGCGCAAATAGACTGCAGTAGTTTTGGTATAACTCTTAACTCTTAACTGCTGAAGATTTGCATGGATAAAGATATCCAACTTACCAACTAATTAGATGAGTAATATTTAATATTACTGTCAAGTCTCAAGATATTTCTTATAATTATACCTAATAGTATAACAGGATTTTAAATGTTACTAAATATAGACTAATTGAGCCATAAAAGCTACCAAAAGAGAAATTAACTTCTTCGCTGCGGTAAGTGATAAAAAGCAGTGAAATTTGCAGTGAATTTTAAGAATGCAATTGATGTTGCAACCATGAATAATTTATTATAATAATCACTCCATAACCAAAAAAAAAAAAACATTACTTCTGAAGAGACAGTAAAATTACTTCAATATGTTCTTATGAGGCAACAAAAAGGGACATAAATTATAACAGAATGTGCGCTGCGCTACTTGTGTTGCATGTTGGATGCTGCAAGCTGCAAGCTGCGATCTGCGAGCTGCAAGTGCATTTACGCGGTACAAAATTAAGAAAGCGTAATTCTCATGAGGTGACACTTTACAATGTGCGGCATTTTGCAATGAGATTTATGACAATGTCGGCAAGATACTTCTTGAGCCAGCCGCCAACAAAGAAGCGCAAACATAAAAATTCCTTTAAACGATAAAGACAGAAAAAAATCATGGAAAGAAATCAAAAAACGTTTTGTCGTAAAGTGGAAACCATAAAATGTGAAAAATGGTATGCAAGTAAAAACGGATAGGATTTATGAAGGACTAAAATCTTGTTCCAACTGCTTGTACGCCTAATTTTCTCAGCAACTTAGATTTATAAATATTTGAAATAGTTACAAAATGTGCAAAATTTGAAGATATTTTGAAAGTAAACAAAAGTTTCTGTGCTTAAGGAATTCCAGTTCGAATCCTTGCAGTCGGTTTTGTATTTCTAAGAAAATGGTTACACTCTAAAATAGTTCAGATTGCCATATGTACATAGTTTCAAAATACCTTTAGTATATGCTCTAGTATATGGTGAAGTAGATAAACTTTGTTGTATTTATAATAAAAAACTAAACTTCTCTTAAACAGTATCATTTTGAAAGTAATTTTACGCAAATTAATCACCTAATCATGTTAATTTAATTTATTTAAATGCCACTTTAAACCGATTGCTTGAGTTAATCAATATATAGGAAGAACTTTTGTCTTTGACAAATATTTGTGTACATCCGTCCAACTTAATGAATCGAGTATTTTGTGGAAACACAAGACAACAATCCACCAATGATCAGCATCTGCACAAGAGGAAAGACTAAACTGAAGCAAATAATTTGTTGAAACTTTAGTTGACCTTTTATGGTTAATTGAACAAATGTTACATTATTTACAAAACAATGTAGTGGAAGAGGTAGCACTTAAGCATGTTTACCTTAATGATGCAATGGTTGGTAATGACTACAAAAATCGAATAAAACGACATATTTGTGGATACGATGTGCTTGAGACGACTTGACTATTGAATGAAGTTGGTTCATGGTACATAAATGTACAGATTGAACACTGAAACAGTTGCTGGAATATTTTTGAAATATACGAGTATACCAGTTTATACATATAGTGCATTTTAATCAATTTTATATCAATTTATTGTTTGGACTTTCGATTAGTTATAAATCACAACACCAATCAAATGTCATCAACTAAAAATTGGGATGATTTTTCAACAATAACTAAAGGAAACTTAAACATAATATAATCATTATTTTATAATGACTTCACAATTATAGCACATTCAGCGGTTCTTTAATGAATTATATTGTAA